GGCGGCCCCGCCAGGGTCGCCTGCCCAGCTTTTGCGCCGCTTTTTGTTCGGCATCTGCCCTGCCAGGGTCGTCTGCCAGGCTTCGCCGGCTCCCGGCGTCCGCAGCAGTCTTTTGTCAGGGTCACTGGCTGGACCCGGATCCTCCACGGCCTGGTCGCCTGCCAAGCCCCGCCAAGGGTCGTGCGTCGTGCTTGTCCCGCCAAACCTTCGCCTCCACTTCCGCCAGGCTCTGCAACTTCGGATCCGTGCTTCTGCCAGGGTCCACCCTGCCGGTCCCCGCCGGGTCTTCTGACAGTGCCCCGCCAGGGTCGTTTGCGAGACCCAGAATCACCTGCCAGGCCCCCGCGAGAGTCGCCCGCCAGCTTCGCCGCCGTCTTATACGGGCCAGCACCGCACCACGCCGTCTGCCATTGTGGTGTGGATGGCCAGGCCCGTCGCCCGTGCTTCGCCAGCCGTGGCCTGCCAGCCGTGCTGCTGGGTCACCGCACCCCGCGAGCGAGGCTCGCCCGCCAGCTTCGGCACGACCCTGGCGGGGGCGGGTCGCCTGCCGAGCTCTTGCGCCGCTTTTTGTTCGGCATCTGCCCCGTCAGGGTGGTCTGCCAGGCTTCGCCGGCTCCCGGCGTCCGCAGCAGTCTTTTGTCAGGGTCACCGACTGAACCCACATCCTCCACGGCCTGGTCGCCTGCCAAGCCCCACTGCCCCACCATCGTCCGTCGCACTTGTCCCACCAAACCTTCGCCTCCACTGCCCGCAGGGGGGCCGAAGTCGTCCGCTCCGCCGAAGTCGTCGGATCCGTGCTTCTGCCAGGGTCCACCCTGCCGGTCCCCGCCGGGTCGGCCGCCGGGAACCGCCCTGCCAGGTTGTGCGCCGTGCTTCTGGCAGGGTCGTTCGCGAGATTCAGGCCCCTGCGAGGGTCGCCCACCAGCTTCGCCGGCAGGCCTTCGTTCCAGGCCACTGCTCTGCAGGGTTGTGCGTCTTCTGCCAGCTGTGCTGCTGGGTCACCGCACCCTGCGAGCGAAGCTGGCAGGCCCGCCCCAGCCCACTACCCGGTCGTCCGCCCTTATACGGAGGGGTGGTCCGGATGCTTCTCTTACAGGTCAGTGTCCCGCGAAAGAGGCCAATTCAAGCCGATTCCTTTCCGTCCTTCTTTGTGAAGGAGCAATGAGACCTGCCCCATGCTTCTGCCAGGGTCCCCACCAGGTCGTTTCCAGGCCCCGTCGCCCTTCAGCTTCGCAGTTAGCCAGAAGGCCCCGCGATCCTCCATACCTTGCCGGCCAGGTTTGCGCCGTGCTTCTGCCAGTGCCCCGCCAGGGTCGTCCGCCAGACCCAGGCCAGCCCCGCCAGGGTCGTCCGTCGTGCTTCTTTAGCCACAAACCACTGCCCCGCAGGGTTGTGCCGTGCTGCTGCCTTCGCCACCCCAGGCCACTGCCCCGTTGCGTGCTTCTGCCAAAGACGGGCCAGCCCCGCCAAGGTTGTCCGCCAGGCTCCGCTAGGCGTGGGTCAGTGTCCCGCGAAAGAGGCCAATTCAAGCCAGTACCTTTCGTCGTCCTTTTTTGTGAAGGACCAATGACACCTGTCCAGGCCACTGCCCCGCAGGACGTTTCGTAAAGGACCGAACAGACAGAGGCGGCACGTTTCGTCGCCCCTCTCTATGTAGGCCAAGCAGACTGCCACGAAGAGCCCAAAGGTCCCACGCACATCCCCCCCACGGCTGTCCCTCACAGCTAGCCGGTACGTTTCGTCGTCCTTTTTTTGATGGACCAATCTTATCTGCCCAGAAGAGCCAAATGGTCCCCTATACCAGAGCCTCAACGACGCTCCCGGACTCCCTACCATCCTGCTCTTGAAGCACCAGAACTCCCCCAGGATAGACCCGGTATGTTTTCTCCTTTTCTTCTGTATGAAGGCCCTCCCCCACAAAGTCGGTACGCAACCTCTCCATCAACGGTAGGCAGGCCATTAGGCAGGCCAGCAGGCAGCTAGGCACCCGAGGCAACATAGGCAGGCAGGCAGGCAGACAAGTAGCAGAAGAGATGCACGCACATGACGCAACCACGACTTGCACATTTCATTGCAACATGTTACCCACGCCCTCCGTAGTCTACTTCTGGCTCAAATGACAAGTATATCCTTTCTAACGATGACATCCATGGCAGCTGATACGCTGGCGGGGGCTCTGCTTCCGCACATGCGACTACCACCGCGGAATCGAGAGCTCATGGATGTGGCCGGGCCGTGTCGCTGGCGCGGGCCCCCTTTCTTGTGCCCGCCAGACGGGCTGTGCTTCTTGTACGCGTGGCTCGCAGCAGAATAGCCCGAAGAGTGGGCTGCTACGTGCAAAGATGCGCATGGCTTCATTTGCGATCTGGAGCAAGAGCGAGTTTGGAAGGCTAGAGCGCAGAAGCTGCAAAGCCAGGTTCTGAAGTTGATGGACGATGAGGGCCAACATGATATGGCTGAGCGTCTACGCGCTGGAACCTTTCCAGGGGACGAGGAATTTGCCTTCTACACACGGGCCCTGGGCGGCGCCGTCCTCGTAACGCCGCTTGAAGAACCGCACACAGTTCCGTGCATCTACGGCGAGGGGCCTGTTCGCTGTGAGATGGGCTTCGTTTACAGTGTGGACGGCGCTGGAAACTCTGCCGGCCACTATGTCCTCTTGCAGAGCTGGGCACCACAGACAGAGCCCTGCGAAGATCCTGACGGCGCCGATACCCCCGCTGGGCGGCCGGCGGCCAAACCAGCCTACGCTACTTCCCTTGATGGCTCTGATCTGGACGAGGAAAAGACAGCCAGCAGTCCTCACAGCACCTTGAACGAGAGCAGCCCTTTGAAACCCTTTGTTTGACCAAAGTGGCATGAGCGGTCCGGATTCAGAATTCTCGTTGAGCCATGAGGCCGCCAGCCTTGAGAATAGGCGAGGGGCAGCTGAGGATACGCCCTGCGAAGCTTTACCCGGTTCTGGGAACCCCACTACGCTGCTCCAAAACGCGGGCAATGCCGGCAGCAAGCCCTGCGAGAACGCACAGCCACCGGCACCTCGACAGCGAGGAAACAAGCGCGCGCGGGAAGAGGACGAGAAGCAATGGGCATGCGCAGCAACTGCGTTCGGAGAAACAGCTCGCATCCTCAAGATCCGACCTGAGTGGTTGGCCCGTATTTTATCTGGAGAGAAGAAAATAGAAATCCGCGGCGAGGAATGCCCGCACGTCGGCTGGGTCACTCTGGCGTTGGAACCAAAAGAATACTTGCGAGGGCTCGACTTGGCAGCAGCCACATCCTCACAGAAGCTGAAAAGAGGACAAACGCAGAGGCCCTCTCGCAGCTGCAGTACCCCAAGCCCTGGGCTTGGCCCATTGAAGAACTCGAGCCATTGCCGTTCCCCATCCAGATTCCAACCTGGGTAGCCAGGGGCTCTGTACAATGGATCACCCGGGCGCGCTGGGAGACCTTTGACACAAGACAGTTCTCGCACAGTGCGTCTGATGCTCGCGACACACAGACCAACACAACTGTAGCCCGACCCCGCATCTCTTACGCAGAACGAAACTGTCCTGCAGCGCCACCAGCTGTGACCGTCACGAGGCAAGCACGGTCGGACTCTAGCACCTTGAGAAAGACACACGCGCTGCCGAGCATAACGTATGCGGAGTGTCCCCACAAGCGTCGGCATAAGTCAGAACTGTGCGCAGGAGGCGACGAACCTTGCGTCTTCAGCGCCAGTGAGCCTGGCATGCCGGCAAGACGCCCGCGTGCCTCGCCTCGGTGCACGTTCTGCGACCAGGGAAGTCTGATATTGGCTACCGGCACGGCCGCCGGGCGTGGACGTTTAACGCGCGCCTTGAAGGCCTTTCGTCTAGCAGAGGCAGAAGATGTCTACCGTCGAGCCGTGCAGAGGCTGCGAGAGTGCGCCCCTGCTCACGC